GAAGATGAGTGCAAGTTAGAATAAGAGGCACTTACAGGGACCCACCCACCCTGCCCACACGATTACGATTAACTTAAAACTAACGCACGCGTAACATTAACTTATAGCTAACGCACGCATCCCTCGAAGATCCCTCGATGACCCCTCGATGATTGATGTCTTCAATCTTCGCGTATACGCCATTCACACATTTACTCATTCATACTACAATATATTACAATAGACGCAACTTAAAATTACTTAAAATTAACGCGTCAGTTGATGAAATCCCACGAAGGAAGTCTTCAATGATGACCTCTTCCTCGCCTATAGAATTCAGTTGATGAAATCCCACGAAGGAAGTCTTCAATGATGACCTCTTCCTTACCTATAGACTAATTAGGTGTATTAATAAAAAGATGAAACAGAAAAGCAAATCCAAGACTTGTAACATTATAATGTTTAGACATGCACAATTCATTCTACCATGCACAATTCATGCTACCATGCAAAATTCATATTAACATTTTCGGAATAAAAGAAAAATACATCTCGAGTTGACTCGATAAAAATACGCAAATAAAATTACAATATACTTGAGAAATACTCAATTACTTACAATCAAAATCTGTAACATAAAAATGTAATTAAGACACATATGAAACATCTCATTACCTAATTAAAATCTGAAAAATAAAAACCTGAAACATCTGAAAGAAATTAAGACAAATATGAATTATTAGAATAAAAACCTGAAACATCAGAAAGAAATTAATACAAACATGAATTATTAAAATAAAAATCTGAAAAATAGTAATGTAATTAAGACACTTATGAATAATTCACTTACTTACATAAAATAAAGATCTGAAACAAACAAAAGTAATTAAGACAAATATAAATTATTTCATTACTTACATAAAATGAAAATCTGAAATAGATAAAAGAAATTAAGACAAATACAAATTATTACATTACTTACATAAAATAAAAATCTGAAACAGATAAAAGTAATCAAGACAAATATAAATTATTTCATTACATAAAATAAAAATCTGAAACAAACAAAAGTAATCAAGACAAATATAAATTATTACATTACTTACATAAAATAAAAATCTGAAACAGATAAAAGAAATTAAGACAAATATAAATTATTTCATTACTTATATAAAATCAAAACCTGAAACATACAAAAATGATTAGAACAAATATGAAACATAAAAAATTACTTACTTGAAATTAAAACCTGCAACATACAAAAATAATTAAGACAACATGAAAAACATTAAAAATTACTTACTTAAAATTAAAACCTGAAACATACAAAAATGATTAGGGCAAATAGGAAACATTAAAAATTACGTATTTGAAATTAAAACCTGCAACATACAAAAATAATTAAGACAACATGAAAAACATTAAAAATTACTTACTTAAAATTAAAACCTGAAACATACAAAAATGATTA